AGAATCATCCCTGCTTCCTCCTTCCTCGCTTTTACAGGGAAAAGATGTTGGCAGGCAACTAGAGTCCTCCGAGTCTGTTGATTTTCTTCGAGCACAGGTTCTCTCCATTGGACCAGATTCCTTTTTTTATTATTACAATTAATTATCTGGCACCTTCAGCTTTCTTTATTCAGTGCAAAGTGACTGTAAATGCTACCCAATCATAAAAGGAAACAGCATGCCCTCATTTGGCAATGGAGTAAACACCCAGCTGTGGAATCTTTAAATCCCCTTATTTCTTTTATTCTACAGAGCTCTGCATTCAAAGGTCTGGAAGCAGTTTTACCACAGGTTACAAGCCTCTCCTTGCCTGCAGTTTCTCAACGATTTTCTCCTATCTGCCACACCTTTGCCATCATAGCAGATTTCTGACCTCATTTGCCTGATCCAGTATCAGAACGTGATCCCTGGAAAAAGCTTTTTCTCATGCACCTGAGGAATATATTACCATTTCCCTTGTATACTCATGAGAACTAAACTAAAAGAAAGCTGGCGTACGAATGCCTGTAAATACAGGAGAAATAGATCAGCAATGAAAGCTACTTTATCATCCCTGGCACCTGTTTCTACACCTTGCACAAGCTCCCTAGCTCATACACAGCGTGCACATATGGTTTAGCACTGTCGTGTGCTATTTCAGTTGTGGTAGCACTAAAAGCCTGTTCACTCTTACGCTCAGTGCTGGACACATCTGCAAGGGACAATCTCTTCCTCTGCTAAAGCTTCACAGGAGGCAACTAGGGGAATGCAGTCATGTTATGCACAGGTTGTACCAGATAGCCAAGCTGATTGCTTTCAAAAAGATGTGTTTGCAACAAGGGATCTGTAGTTTTGTACAGGGTAAGGAGCCTAGTGGGAGTTTTGAGCCTATCAAAGGATCTTAGCATATCCAGAAAATTCATTTTCTGATGAACTTGTGCTCTTAAGAGTCATGGAAATACCACTGCCTGCTTTATGGTGTAAAAAGTGCAGGGATTAAACAGACCAAGATGAACCACCTCCCTCCCAGACCTGAGAAGCAAGACCCTGGATTTACCTAAAAGCATCACTGAACAGGTTTGCAGGCCCAATAATCCCTAACTGGCAAAGCCAACAGCCAGCTTGCCAGGATCTGCAAAGGGGCAGAGCTGTTGTCATAGCACAGACAAGTCCCTCAAGCAAACAGGGACAAACTCACCCCGAGCACACTGGTGAGGAGTCAGTGCCACAGCCACTGTGTGCTTTTATAGAGACAGGAGCTGAGAAACTACAAACTGAATGCACAAAAAAAAATGGCTCCAGGAAAAAAGTTTGAGGAATTACAAGCAAATTCTAGAGACCTCAAGAAAGAGCCCTCTGGGAAGGCACCTGGTTTAAGCAGGGATTATTAACCTTTGCTCTCCAGGCAAAACTGGTTCAGCCTGCACCAAGGGTGATGCAGAACAGCTCAAGTTGCTGGGCAGCATCATGCACACTTGGTGAGTACCCTTTAACAGCACATTGGAAAGGGATGCCAGGCTGGCAGCATACAGCTCTGAGGCTCTGGCCAGGGTTTGCACATTGCTGGCTGGAGCAGAATACAAATTTGGGTTTGGATGATGTTCCTATACAAGCTGCTACAGTAAGATGTGCTCCTTGTCAATCGCTGTACAGCCTCAAACTGCCATAGTGGCAGGTTGGAGATGGTTCATTTTCAGTCTTACTCTTTCACTCAGTCCCTGCAGAAAGGGCTGCATTTGATTCATCTTCTCCTGATCCAGAGTGTTCACTCTGGAGTGTAATAACAGTCATCTCAATGTTAATGTTCAGTGGTTCACCACAAGAAGCACTAGAGTACGATTTCAGCACTCCCAACAAGACTTGCAAACACCTACAACACCCTTCCCATGGAAAATAACCTGTCCCAAAGCACCCACACCATGCCTCAGCGTTCCAGAGGACCCTGCTCCAGCTGCCCCTAGCAGGAACTCACAGATCCAGGCTGCCAGGCTCTCACCCCTTCCCTCCTCCACCGCCTCCCTTTCAAGCAGCAATAAGGTTTCAAGACACACACATCCTGCAGTGACTTCACCATGGAGATGGGAGGGTAAAGACAAAGGGGTGAGGGGAGGTCAGTTAATCCCACAGACACCACCAGGCTGGGACACACACGGGCTGGGGAAGAGTTCATTTAAAAACTAAATGAAAATGACGTTATTGAGCTCAAGTTCTCTTTTCTGTGCTACAAACCCCAGGCTCTGCTCCCCCTTCTTCATTCCCCTTATCCTCCCCCTACAAAATGCCTTGTGTCTTGATTATTCCCAGGCAGGAGCAGCAGTGTGATTGTGCTCGGGGAAATTTCCATTAGTTTTCTAGGAAGATGCACAAATTAGAAATGAAATAACTCAAAGGAAAGTTAAGACTAGATGCAGAGTCTCCCCAGCAGACACCATGGCTGGGCATCCCAGCCAAAGGAGAGATTAGCCAAACAAGTGACTTCAAGTCCATATGTATTGAGTCAGGATCCCAATTTCCAGCAAGGCAAGATAGAGACTTGTGTGAATTCAGCTCTGGCAAAGCCTCATGGCTGTGAGTTCCTTTTCAACTGTGACACTTGCTTGTGCAGTGGGATTCAAATCCTGCCAAGTGGGGCCACAACCACTCCAGGTGCTTGTGGCCGCATTCTGTTACAAATTCATATTTTCAGGGACTTTAGCTAGTAGGAAAGGTCTTACACTTCTCCTTTAACTTCACTCTTCCACAGGCAGAACTGGGGAAGCCCCAGAGAAACTGCTACACCCTGCCAGGCATTGATTTTGCATATGGGTTGTACATCGAGAGGACAGATGGAGGAGTCCCTGAAGGTATGACACCACCACTAAAATGCAGACCTGCAACAAAGTCCTAACACTAGTAGGGAATCTCCTCTCCTTCCCAGTGCTCTTTAATACTTCTCATCAAGCTGGAGGAGGGGAAATCCAACATTCCCCACTCTCATTGATATCGCCCAAATTGCTTAGAGACTAATAAAGTTTCTTTATCATATAGTAAACTTCTGTAGGATCACACAGAGCCCAAGGAGAGAGGGATATGGCACCTGCAGAGGGTGAATCATATGGCCACTTCCATGTTAGAGCTCCTACTTCGTGCTCTCAGGAACAATTTCCCTATGAAATCACACTTGCTGAGCAAGCCAGGGTAGAGGATATAAAGACATCCGATTCAGAAGGAAGATGTCCCCATATGAAATGCAGTGGGATAGGATATGAAGTTCAATCCATAGTAAAGCCATGGCAAAATGCATGCACACCAAGCAAGGCCCCTGGACATGATGCACAAACCTCAGCCCACCTTCCCCAACAGGAGTTACCAAAGATGCCTGATCTTTTTCTCTCATGTTTCCTTCCACCACCAGCAATAGGCCACTGGAACACCGTAAAGCCCAGGACTCATTTAGTTCAGAAGATGCCCCGAGACTACATCGCCATGAACCGCAGTGCTCTGAAGGCTGGTTATACCACAGCCCGTGAATATAATTTGTACTACAAGGCCAAGGACATTCGGCGCAAAGACGATGAACACAGCCACTTCAATAGGTGTCCTCCTAAACCACCTGCAGACATGACTTTTGGCATCAGAACACAGTAAGGGGGAAGGCTTGGGGCCCTTCTCACATCTACATCTCCAACACAGTCGTGTCCCCCCCAAAAAAAAAGAGGTGTCCTGAACCTGGACATGCTGCAACTGAGCCCGAGCATCACTTCCATGTCTGATTGCACCAGTGTGTGATAATCAGCTACCTAAATCTAATCTAGATGCCACAATACATCAAAATTTCACCTGTGGCACTAAGGGCTTGGAGCCCTTTAAAAATATGACTGATGCAAATCCTTTAACTTAAAGGAACATGAAAAGTCATAAGCCAGAATACTGGCTTTCCAGGGCCAGAAAACCAGAGCAACAGCATTTCTACTTGCTTGCACTGGCTGAAATACTCTGGTGAAGTTAAGGGTTGTTGAAGTTCTTTATCCTACCCTCTCCCACTTGGTAGTCTGCTTCCCTGCACTGGGCAGAAACTGGTAGTACAGCAGAATGGTAGCAAACAAGTTTTTCACTGCCCTCTCCTGCTTTCTTGGGCTCCCTCCCAAGAGCTGGAGGGAAGAGCTGATACATGCAGCTCTCCCAGCAACCCTCTAGGAGGGCATAACCCTTGCAATGCAGCAGGTTGGTTAAGGCTTCACACTGGGTTAGGTCTTTTGCATTGCAGTGTCTTCCAGAAGATTTTTTACAAAGCATCCTACATGCATGAGTCCTATCTGAGGTTCAGATACAGCATTTAGAAGTGACCCATTTCACATCCCCCTCGCATACCAGCTCTCAGCTGTCTGCTGTGCTGCTTTCTTATGGGGTAACAGAGAGTCTCCAGGGGTGAACACTGGCACCTTAGACTCACTTCTAGGTAACCTTCCACTGCCTGTTCTCCACAGGAGTGTGAGGGAGGCTGGACAGCACAGCAGTCTGGAAGAGCCAGCGTGAGTCCAGCACAAACAAGTGCTCAAAGCCTCTGAAAGGGGCTCAGAAGCAGCCCAGCTGCTGCTGGAGCACAGAGTGTTTTCTTGCTCTGTGCAGGTCTAGACCAGACATTAGGTTTCATTTTAAGAGCTGGATAATAATCACTACAGAAAAATAACATCAACAAATTCTAGAGAAAAGACATGATGAACGGCACCATGTATTTTACATGATAGTAAATGGGCTTTGCATATGCAAATTGAATGGATTTTAAAATGGTATTTAATGACAATTTTCGTAGCAGACATTAACATTAATTGCATCAAAATGAAAATGTAGCATTAGCTTGCTGTTAGCTGCAAATGCCCCAGCTATAAAGCTTTATCTTTATCAGTATCAGCCCTCACCAATGTGACAGGGCTGCTCTGCAAATTGCAGGCAAAAGGGCTTTTATGTTGCAAAAGTATCCCCCAATGTAGACCAAAATCAACATCAATTTTGCTTTATTTCTTCATAAACGGAGGTTAAATGGCTGCCTGTAAGAAGTCTAGGCACGTTTCAAAAGTTTTAAGGAAAATCTGCAGACCCCACATCAGCAGAAGTAGTGGGAAAGGGCTTTTAATTTAAAGTTATTATTGTACAGCTTGCCTGCTTCCTAATAGCTACCTTTTATGCCAACTGATTGTATTTATCCCTTTACTTTAAAAGCACGTTATAGACAAAATCAAATTACTGGGATTGGCAAGGAGTTGTTACAGCCATTTGAGTAAAAGTGGGAATTTAACATACTTTTCCATGACTAGCAAGTTAAAGATACCAGCTTTGGTAAGCACTACACAGCCCAAGCCTGCCCCCAGTCACAGCTGACCAGGTTCAGCAAGACATGCCCTGTTAAAAATTGTTTGGTTATCAGTGGATTTAAGTTGGTTCTGCTTTCACACTCTGAGCCCTGTACAACTGTATTCTTAGTGCTGCTAATTGGGAAGGCAATATGCTTGTCTGGGGTAGGAGAGAACAATGGCATATGGTCTTTTTCCATGAAACCAAGCACTTCTTTGCCTTTAGAATTGTCCACCTTGATGCAGAAGGTCCTTTTCAGCAAGAAAAGAGCCTGCGTGTCATTCCCTAACATGCACAGACAATTGCAGCTGAGAAGGCCAGAGAGCAAAGGTTCCTTCCCATGCCACTTGAAGGGGCTGCAGCCACTCTGCCCAATGGTGGCAATGCTCTGGGACAATCCCCAGAACACCAACACAAACCCTCCCAGTCTGCACCCACAGCCCTGTTGCAGCTGCTCTGCACAGCTGGAATTGCAGCTACTGCCAGCATGCAGCCTCAGGGCTGGACTGCCTCCCCAGGAACAGGGGTTTATAAAGCCCAAACAACTCAGCAGCTGTCACAGGAATGGGTTTGTGGTCTTGCATCTGTCAGTGGATAATGTGCAAGGGCTTCTCAAGCCATGACAACATTTCTCCAGCCCCTGGGCTGGGCTGTTAAAGGCTTCTGTCTCCCAAAGACACCAAGGTCAGGAGTTCTCCCCAGGCTCAAGTATGAGCCCTCCTGGATCATCCCAAATAGAAATGAACACAAATGCTGTGGTTGCTATTAGTGCCTTATTAATCACACCCTGGCCCTGCTGCTCCTAGCACGGCAGAATGCTCATGTCTCTGCTTTCCCCCCATAGTGGATGTGTGCTGCATGGAGCATTTCACTGGCAGTGTCAGACACTGGAGTGAGCTTTCTGAAGCTTCGAGGATTCTTTCCTTTCCTGGGATATTTACCTTCAAAGGTCACCCATATCCCCCTATTAATTCCCCATGGGCATCTTCCACGGGAGAGAAGCAGCTCTGCTTTTTTGCTGATTCCCACCCCCCATTCTCTCCCTCCCTTTTCCCAGAGAAATATTTGCTACGAATCCTGAGGCCAGCATTGTTGTGAGAGTCATAAAAAGGACATTTTTCATCTCTCCTTTTTCCTGCTCTTGCTCCCCTCTCTCTCTCAGTATCAGACAGAGATTTATTCCCTCCCTGATGCCTGTGGCATTCAGAGCTGGGAGGGGTCAGGGGAGGCACTGATGGGACGATAATAGATAATACAGTGGTTCCCCAGGGTCTTGTCCAGCTCCATAGCTGATCCATCAGCAGGCAGTGCTCGTGCCAAGGTCAGTGGTAACGAGGATGTGGTAGGGTCCCAGCCTCCCCCATGGGGCATCCTCCAGTCAGGCTCCCCCAGTTCATGCTCCAGCTTCCGATCTCTACAAGAGCTGCCTTGTGCAAGCCACAATTTGCAAGAGAGCACATGTCCACTGAGCAAAACACTGGGGTAACAACCACCTTACTGCGCATTCATGCTCAGCTTCACCTGCCCCAGCCCGCATCATCCCCACTGCAAATAGGTCTATAGGTTTTCTTTCAAGGAAAATGCTCATCATTAGCAATACCCCTCCTCCAGGAACTAAAACCACCCCCATCCACGTGCTTTGTGCATGGCACATTACACAGCTGTAAGAGGTGTGCAGATTAGGGTTGCTGTCACCCTGGACCCAAATCCCAGGTTCTTTCCTTTAAAAATAACCCCACAACAGTTCTACTAGCAGGTGTATTCAACCCCCATACTCTTTGTGTAATTACCTTGTTTTATAAGAGGGAGGATGCAGGGCACTGAGTGGGCTGGGGGGTTTTGGTGGTGTTGGAGATATAAAGACACAGTCTGAAGACCTCCAGGATTTTCACCAATGTTAACATAGCTTGTTATTCAAGCTGCATTTGGAAACTCCAGTAGATATACAGGCCCACATTTGTCCTTCTAAACACCTTTTGTGATTGAAGTTCAATGTGCACTGAAATTAGCAGACACTAAATGGTCATTTTTGGAACTAGAAGTAAGCATAGAGATATGGAGATGCTGTCTACAGCTAGATCTTAGATTACATTGATTTGCACAAGGTCACACAAGGAGTTTGAAGCCGCAACACACCAGCACACAGTTGGTACCCCAAACACAAGTTTTCTCCCCAGGAACTAGCAGTGCAATGTGTCCCCTCAGCACAGGCACGCTCTCCAGCATTTCCAGGTCTGCTTTTAGAGAAAAGCTTTCATTTGCCTCTTAGTAGTGTGAGTTTCCTAATCCTGCGTACTATGTCCCAGAACATATTCCTGGACTCAAGGACTGCAAAGACATGCCATTCTCTGCCATTCTACACCTGAACCTCCTTCAAACCCTGCATGGCCATAACCCTGCCTCCAACATGCTGCCATCCACTTGGCAGTTGGCCTGTAGGTTGGGCTGACCTTGGGTGTGCTGGCAGGAATTCCCTGGCACTCTGTCATCCCTGTGTCTCCTGCCGTGTCCCCCCCTACTGTCTGCCTTCACTTCAACCGTCCCTTTCCTGAATTTCACATCCCATTTTCCTTCTAACCATCCCCTCCTATCATTCCACCTCCCATTCTCCAAAGCAGGTTTTTTACCTTTGGCAGCTGCTTTTACCATGTTCCTGCAGCAAACTCACCTCTCCAAAGCATTTGGTCACTGCAATCTTTCTTCTTCAAACTGTTACAACTGGCTAAGAGCATCAGTTATCCAAGTACCTCCTCTTTTCTTTGTATCATTTGCAGTTGTCCTAACGCTCTGTTGACAATTGTTTCCCTGGCCTCTAGCAGCTCAGCTGTTACCTTGGCTATCCCTGCAGATTCCTGGCATAACTGACTGCTCCGTCCTTATCTTTCACCTTCCCCAAGAAGGGAGGTTTCAATGCTCATGCTTCTCTTTGCAAGTGGCCTTTCCACCCAGAGTGTCCATGTGCCTGCACAGAGCCAAAGTTTAGAAAGCTGCCCAAAAGGTACCAAGATATTTCCAGCATCTCTTTGACACACATAGTGCCCCGGTGTGCTTATTTTTGGGACACTTAAAGAACATCTCAGGTCATTAATATATGGCCCTGGAAAGAAAAGCTAATCTAGCTATAGACCAGCTGCAAAGATATGCCAAAGAAACAATACTAAAGAGCAGAGCGTGTTCCTGGAAAGAACCCACACTGGGAAGAGCTGGACAGGCAAGAAAGAGGAATATTAGAGCAAGCCCACATCTGATCCACAATCACTAGAAGTCAAACAAATAAAGAGACAGTAAAAAA